ATCAACCTCTTTTTTTTTTTTATATCAAATACACAGATCCAATATTACAAAGGTCATAATTTCTTTATTGACAATGTTCATTCACAGAATGTCATAAATATTCTAGAATTTAGAGTTCTTTACAGCAAAATATAATTTATTTGAAGATTTTTCCTTGATTGAACTTCTTGCCATCAAAATCGCCAGACCAGGCAAGGTATTCATTCACTAATTTTTTTGTGGTGGGAAGTGTTGGGTCTAATTTCTTCCAGCTGTAAGATTCATAATCAATTTGCCAGTCTTCAGACAGCTAAAATAAATAAGAATGTAAATTAAATATGGCAAGAAACATAGGAAATAAAACAAACTTATTAAAAATTACACTTTTTATATAAAAGAAAGAAAATTACCGGGAAGGCAAGTTCATGACCTCGCCATATCCAAATACCAGAAATTGTGCTGTTATTGTCTTCACCAAAAAGACATACACTGGCAAAAGCATTCTTTCTCATTTTATCTAACCTCTGGAACATTCCTATAATCAAGAAATTAATAAGTTATTCACACAAGAATTACATAATATCCCTTCTTACCTAGGCTTCTATAGTTCTCTCTTATTTTCAAGAGATTTACCATAAAAAAATTTTTTTAAATTAAGAGGAATAAAGTAATTTTTCGATTACAATATAAAAAGTATACAATTATACCTATGCAGTTATATCTATATTTTAATGTTTTTCTAACTATAACAATAAAAATTAACCATACCTCCAATAAGATTACAACTCATGAAAGTTAAAGTCAGTTCTTGTGGATAGAGATATTCGCTGTACCAAATGGAATAATTTTCAATATCAAATTTCTCCCAGAAATATTTTATTGATACACTTTCATCTTCATTACTGTATGTACGCTTGAACTCATCCATATTGAATGAACTATATAAATAAGAAATCATTTCCAAATGAGATTTTAAACAAAAAATGTCTAATAGAATATAAGCATATTGATTTAAAGCAACTAAAAGCTAAGTTACTTTTGTCCAAAGAGTCATTACAACTTTTATAATAAAGTTGTCAGTAAAATAAATTCTTTGTTTTTATATTCCTCCTATTGTTACATGATTTGCACTTTGAAGTCAAAGCATGCCTTTGTTTGGAGGAAGATTAAAATCTTAAAACTATTATATTTAAAATTTAAAAAAAATCAATTTAAAGAAGTATTTTTATACTTCTTTAACAGTTTAAAGAACAAAGTAAAGTAAAAAATTATTTTTTTACATCAAGAATAAATTTATGACAGTAATATTATATTCAAAGACATTATTTCAAAACTGCATAAGTTCCTGGAACAGAGCAGTAATTTGTTTTCCTGATATTCCTTACCCATTAATGGGGAAAGGTTTTCTGAAACAGGTAAAAACTTCAATAATTATCTCCCAACTACACTTTGGACTTGAAATTTTCTGCTAACTTTACATATTTTATGTGAACTTTTATTTTTAAATGATCATTTTTAATTTCAGATTTATCATTCCTAGTAATGTGAAAAATTAATAATTAAGTACCTTCTGGTTCCATGTTTAAATCTTGGATAATAGCACACGCATGGCTTAATCAAATTTTTTAAATTATTAAACATTTCAGAACAGAAGTTGATCAAAAATATCAAAATCATAATATACAAATATTTCATAATGGGAAAAGCAGGTAATTTATACTTGTATTAATTTTATTAACTATACATGAACCTCACAAAATATGCAGTGATAATTGGAGGTGTTCCAAAGACAAACATAAATTAGAGTTCCCAATCTTCAAATTGTATTAACAGAAGACATCAAACCAGATTTTTGTTAGTATTAAATGCTAATAAGGTTGAACTTACTTTTTTTTTTTTTTTAAATGTATAAGACAACCATCAATTGTGCTAAAAATTAACAAATGGCTAAATTGGATGGATTCTAACAAAAAGGCATTTTCATGTTTTTTGGGTTTTTTTTACAATTAATTTTGAATTTATACATGAAAAAGAAACTCCACAACAACATTAAAGCTCTTAAAATTCATTTGCATCATATTTATCTGATCACACACTCACCAGTAATCAATTTGTCCATATCTACTTTTAACATATTTACCTTTACACAACTGGTGGTCAAAAATTTATTTCAAAAATAAATTAAATGATTTTTTGTCACACATTCATAGGAATAGATAAAAAAATTTTTTAACCTACACCACGTACTATATATACAAGCTAGAATTTCATCATTTTCACTTTAGAGGTATGCAATCAAATAAGTATGAAGATAACAGCACTACAATACAAGGCAAAATAAAATAAAAAATTTACCCTTTAGGGAATTTTTCAAATGGATCTTTTGATTTTGGTTCTTGAGCTAGCACTAATTCAGTCTCATCAGGCTCTTCGGCTGCCACCTCTTCTTTTTTAGGTTTCTGTTCCTTCTTTTTCTTTTTGTCATCTTTTGGTGGTGCAGCAGCAGTCTCTTTAGCCTTAGGTGCCTTTCCTAGTCCAAGCTCTTTCTGAACTTCTGCAAATTTCTTAGCTGAAAAAAGTATTAAAATTAACTCACTTTTTATACAGCATTTATATAGAGTATAAATTCAATACAGTGAACCTTATATTACTATTTATTTTACAGCATAAAACATGAAGTTGGTTTATTAAATATTAAGGCTGTTCATTACTTTAATTATCTACCTAAATAATTTAGTTTTCAGATTAAATACTGACAAAAATCATCACTTGCCATACAAACTACATATGCTTCAATGTTTTCGAATTAATAGCGAGGTAAATGATTCAAATTATCCAATTCATCACGCATAACCAACAATATACTTTTGCATGTATTTATTGTTAGATAATACATTAGTAGATTAACTTGATTTACAATATATTTTAGACATTTCCTTTGCTGTGACATAAAAATATCTAGAAATAAAGCCCATGATAAAACTAATACTATACTTAATGTAATGAAAAATTAGAAAATCACAAGTAATAAATATTTATTAATAAGTATATTAGATACAAAAAAAAAATCTAAGTTTATATTTTATACTTGTGTATATCAGTTTAAACATTAATAAATTAAATACAACAAATATTGCTTAATTTTTGAATGAATTTCTTTTTATCAATTTAAAAATTCTTACCGTCAAATTGAGCCATTTTATTACAGAGTTGAATCTCTCCCAACACAGCTTTAAATTGAGGTTGGTTAACACATGTTACGAACCATCTGGTTACTGCACGATAAGGTTGTCTAAATGATGGCTCCAAAACCTATTGAAAAGTTGAATTATCACATACATATTTCAAATAAAATCAATGCATTTAACAATTTTAAAGCATGTAATATTTATTTTTACTTTTCAATGCTTATTTTATAGTTAATATGTAAAATGGATATACCTAATCAATATTTCAAAAAACCAACTTTATTACATTAAAACACATTAAGAAAAAGTTAATTTTAAATTTGTTGCACTTACTCGAAAAATTCTTTTATACTAGAAAATTTAAGCAATTTTTTTTGCCTTAAATTTTAATATCAAAGGGCTCAACATTCCATTTTGCACTACAGGTACAGGAAATACTTCTGTAATGAAAGATTAATTTTATTACACATCAAGAATAAGAAAACAACTTACTATTTGGTATAGTGACAATAAATTACAACAAAGACTAATGTCAGCTTGAGTTATGCGCTCACCAACTAAATATGTTGAATGCATAAGGTGGTCATTTAAAAGCTTCAGAACTCTTGTAATATCTTCCTTGGCCTTTTCAGTATTCTAAAAAGAAAAATCACATTTTAAATAAATAATTACTTTGAGAAGTTGCAATTAAGCTGTGAAAACTAATTTTAACTACATCTGATGCTAACTTTCAACTTTCAAATTCAAAAATTTAATAGGTAAAACTATTGATAGTGAATAGTTATTTTTAAGAAAAGAACATAAGCAAATTAAGTATAAACATCTGCCAGAATAACATTTTCTCCTATATATTTCGATAATTTAGGCTTGATATTTAACATATAATGCAGCTGAATTATTATATGGTTAACACCATTTGCTTGCGTGTTTCCCTTTAAATTAGGAGAATTTATCTTAAAAAATCTGAAACAATAGGATATAATGTATATAAGAAGTATTAATACAAAATCTATGAATTTATCATTTAAACAATAAGAACTTACTTGTTTATTAAACTGGATTAACCCTAAGCAAGGAAATACCCATGCACAAGAAGGTGGTATAATTTCATTCTCCCCAAAGTTAATCCACATCAAAATCTGTGCCTTTTCAAGCTGTGTCTTACCATTGAGTTCATCGTTACCCACTAAAAAATAAGTCACATTTTTAGATTATACAGAACTGTATTAAGATTTTTTTTTTTTTTTTTCTTTCCCTCATGGTTATCTATTAAACCAATACATGGAATATAACTTAATAACAAAGATATTATCATAATATAATTATTTAAGATTTAAAAATATCCTCTCTTAATATCACAAGCTCTACTATTGAAATGCTAATATTAAGAATAGTTTCTACTAGTTGACTCGGAAACTTCAAACCAATTAAGAGAATGAAAAGAATTGAATTTGTATTTATAATCTGTTTTATTTAATAGTTTAATAAATATGTTTTTTATGGTTTTATAATTTATAAATATTTAAATACAGAATTTAAAATCTATTTTTTAAAAGAAACATTATTACATAAATAATTATTAAGAGTTATTTTATTGTACATCAAGTTGGTTGCTTACGATTCAATAGTTGATCCATAAGCCGTATCAAGATGATTTACTTTTTCTCTTGTGGTTACTTCAAATCCAATTAAAAAGGAAAGCAAGTCAGTACAAGAGATTTTATAACTATCTTAAGGAACACATATTTTAATTGGCTAACTACCAATTTTCAACATGTAATCTATATTAAATTGAAGAAAAAAATCATAATAAAGAACATAATAGAGGTAGCCAACGGCCGTACCATGCTGAATATACCGGTTCTCGTTAGATCACTGAAGTTAAGCATCATTGGGCGGTTGGTACCTGGGAACACTGCGTGCCGTTGGCAAATTTGGGACCTGAATGGCCGAGTGTCTAGCGCTCTGCCGCTCGGTGCCACAGGTTTCGGGTTCGAATCCCGGCGGTGCCATGGATGTTTGTAGTGGTTCAGAATCCACTTTAAGCCGTAGGTCCCGGTCTTCTATGACTGTAAGAGCGTCACGGAGCAAAGGTCAGGCTTCTACCTACGGGTGCTCCATCACAACAGAAGCTGCTTCCTTCCCCTTCAATCATGAGTCCATATGGGCTCGTGGGCTTGGCCAGCCAAGTGGGATAAGAAACAACAACAATAACATAATAGAGGCAAATTTCCTCAATGATTGATTTCCATAATTTCAATGATCACAGCATTAAATAAATGGCTTTACAGTAGTAAAATAATTGTCCATTAATAAGGAAAAAGGGCAGAGGCAAACACTACTAATTACCACTAAAATCATTGTAATGTATTATATTAAGTGATGCAACAATTTTTTTAATAAGGAAATTTTCATTAAAATAGCATTTTTATTTAAAAAATTTTTTAACTCTTATCTCTAGAAATAATTTAATACAAAAATATGTAATTACATTAAAATATCCATTTTATTTAAAAATAAAAATTTAATCAGTGTGAATACAAAAACTTCTAAAAATTTATAATAAAAAAACTCATAAATATAACTTATCCATTAAACTATCCTCCTTAAACAAATAACGAACAGACTTGTGATTCTTGATAATAATGGAATATGTAATAGCAGCCAATGTATTTATTTACACACATTACTGGAAAAGACTGAATGTTACTTTCAACATATTCATTTCACATAATGTGGCTCAATTGAATAAAAAATTACATCATATTGTATGGTATCGTTAAATCCATACAAAGCTAATTGATTAATAAGAAATTTAACATTCTAATTCTATTCTATTCTAAAAATTATTCTTATTTAATAAATAGTTAACATATTTTATTTAATGTACATTAATATATCCAATACTGAAATAGATGCATTTCAACACTAAATTTTAAAGGCTACCAATTTTTCTTACAGCTTCAAATTCTTTTTAAATTCTTAATTCATTTGATTTCGTATAAGAATATGATTATTAAATTATTTAACAGAAAAATATATTAAATTTGTATTTAGTTTTTTTTTCGAATGCTATTTTTACATTAAATATGTTATTTAATTGAAATATAAATTATTTTAAAGACATTGTAATAAGAAACAATTCATTAAAATTTAAAGGTATCAAATGAAAGATGAATTTCAATTGAATAAGAAAGAAATGCTTATTTGTTTACAATAGTTTTTTCTATTTGTATAGACAAAAATAAAGCTTAGTTTTAAAATTAAATCTTAAAATTATATGTAACCAATTTTTCTAAAAAATATATAAAAAGAAAACATTTCCTGCATCAGAATGAACTATTATATACAAGTAAATAACAAAATGTCATAAATATGCTTTTAAATTAAAAATCATTTAACAAATCTTATTTTTGGTAATTTTATTATTTCTAGATATAATATAATGGCAGTTTAAGGAAAAAGAATGCGCTTACGAAATTTGGATCAAGTAATAAAATCTTCAAATCACAGACTACAGCTAATTTGTAAGTTTTTAAAAAATAAAATTATTTTAAAATTAATATTTAACAAGGTAATAAATAAAAAACAAATAAAACATAGTTGTATGAACAATCGCTAAAACAGAAAGTAAAGAATGACTTTTTATTTAATAAATAATATCGGTGGCAAAAATGTCATAAAAGAGTAACTCTTTCCCTATTCATTAATTCTTATCCCCTCTAAATGATAATCATAAGCGAAGGCTGAAGATGTGCTTATTAATAATTGGCTATTATTCCAGAGTTATTAAATCAATATAATGGAAAATGTCACATTTTTGGCACAATTTGGAACATAAATGCAAGTTTTACTACTTTGGTAACAAATGATGTTATTACCTAATAAAATTTCTTGTCCAAGTTTAAATTAAGATTAATTCACTGATTTGATTAATGAACAATAAAATTACAATTGTAATAAACTGTTAATTATGTCATGAATTTTGCTTGCAAGACGAATTTATAAGAAAAAGCTGTGAATATTAATGAGATGACAATACTTTTATTAATATTTTCATACAAAAAAAATTACAAAAATTTTAAAACTTCAAGAAAAAAAAATGTACAGAAACACTTTATAAATAAGGAAATCATTGTTTCATTTTTTAGAAATATATTTAGATAAACAATGTTTAAAAAATGAATAAAAGCAAAAATCATTCTGAAATAAAGAATACAATAACTTTTTTAAGAAATATTTTACACTCACTTACCATAAAAAGCAATGGCATTGCTTTCAAATAAATATTTGTTGTCTGCAGTAACCAGTGCAGGAACCTAAAAAAATATATGGAGTTTAATAATATAACGGAAACTGAAAATTAAATTTATTAATACAAAATACATGAAGGATATAATTAGCAATTTCTTTTTGTTCATCAAGTTGGTTACTCATAAACCAATTATTGATTTATAAGCCGTTAAAAGAAAATTACTTTCTCTCTTAATTTGATTATGCACCAATATATAGTGCATAATTATAAAAACCAAGAGATAAAATTTTAAAAAAATAAACTATGCAACTACTCACAGATCATTTTTTTTTTTCGAAGTAATTTTAACTTCACTCTTTTATTTGGGGATTTTAAGGTATCAGGTCTAACTTTGCACCTGTTTAGTAATTGCAAAAGGAGACTTCTCGTTGCTACAAATATGCCAACCCTGATGGTGGTTGACCAAATAAAAAAAGTCATTATCTTGCTAAAAATTGTTTATTTTAAACCTTTTTGCCCAAGGATATAGAAGTGCTTTTAAAAATGCTAAATAATCTAGTTCTTGTAGATATGTCCAGAGAAGAAAAATTAAATTTATTTTTTAAGTATAACTTTCTATTTATAATTAATTTATTCATAATAGTTTATTATTAATAATTACTATTTTCTGTATTCCATTAGAATGCATCCTGCGTTAAGTTAATTTTTCTGTGTTTTCATGAGGACCTGTCAAAAACTGAGAACGACAATTTTATACAGGACAGAGTTAATACCAAGAACAGAGTTATAAGAAAAAGCCTACTTGTAATGGGATTCCAGGATATGTAAATATTTGTATTTTTTTTTATTATAATACTTGTTATAAAGGAAAAAAAAAACCATATAGCATAGTCGATTGTAAATGATCAGACATCATTTAAAAATCCTCAAGGAAAAATCCTTTCAAGTGGAAACCGCAAATGAAATAAATTCATTGTCATCCTATCAATTTACAAGACTATTTTTTTCAATTTTAATCTTATGCATACTAAACAAACTCAGTACAAGTCAAAATCAAGTAATTATATCAACACCTTATTTCCATTCTATTTTACATTTCAGTGTACGAATTTTTTTACGTATGGTTTTAATCAGATCGCACTAGTTTCTACTTTCATCATCTATAGCATACAACATTTTATAACTATCTTTTGTCAAGTTTTTTAAAACAGAATCAGGAATATAGACAAAAGGTATTTGAATTTGAAATTGCTATTTAAAACTAACCTGTAGAGTTTTTAATTTAATATACTTGTTATACAGCAGACAAATGTATCGCATACTTCATTGCAAATGATCACACATCACTTAAAAATCATCAAGGAAAAATCCTTTCAAGTGGAAAACGCAAATGAAATTAAAATATTTTCATCATATCAATTTGCAATCAATATCATTGTTCGAAATACATCCACAGCTATACTTATCAAACATTTTCATTTTCAAAATATGTTTGCATATTAAAAATAACTTAGTTCTCACTTTTATCAATATTTCATTAAAAAAAAATTAAGGGTTTAATACAGGGTGCTTTCTCAAGTTAGAATTTCAAAGTTAGTAAAATTAATTAAAAATATTGCAAATTAATAAGTATAAATATACATAAAAACAGGACAAAAAAAAATGAGGGTTTATGGAGGTCCTCCCTTAAGATAGCAATAAATGAAATTGAAAATGCTGATATAAAAAATTTAGACTTCAATTAGCAAAGGAAATACAGGTAATTTTTTTTCACCCTTCTCGCATTTCTTTCCCCCAACATTTCATAAGATAATTTTCAGGAAAATTAGTGGGGAAAATAAGTGGAGAGTTGATCAAAAACTACAGAAAAGATAAGGGAAAAGGGGGACATCAAAAGGGGGACACCTTATTACCTTAGATCCCCCTTCATTTTACTAATCAAATTCAGTCAATTTATTATTCTCAAATCAAACATTTATTACATAAAGCTAAGAACAATTTAAAAATTAAATAAGGCAAACAAATATCATTCAATGAAAATCGAAATAAAAATCATGCTTTAAAAGTAATTATTATGGCACAGACATCTGCAAGCCATTTTAAATTTCCGATTCAATTAATGAAAAATGTTTTAAAACCACCATGTATCAATCTAAGAATCATCAGAAAATAAACAAGAATAATTCTGTTTAACAAAGTTTTATGACCATAGCTACACAGCTATAAACGCAAGAGTTTGTTACTTTACTTTACCTCCATGTCTTGCACAATTTGACAGTCAAATCAAGTCATGCCTTTCAATAGAGGAATTTTTTTATTCAGCAAACTCCTCATAAAAAGTAAGTTTTTCTTTATTAATCAATTTACTCAAAATCTGTTGAGCAAGTTTTAGGATCATAGCCAATACATTCATCATAACTACAAATTATGTTTTTCTTAACTGCCAAAATTACATGATCTGCATTAAATATCAGAGCACGTTCGTAATATAGACAACATTTAATATTAAAAGAATGTATGTGAGTCAACAAATTTCTAACCTATTAGCTTAAAGTAAAATAGCTAGTAATATGATACTAAATACAAATTTTAATTAGCTCCTATTTATAAATAAAAGCATCTATCGATACACCTCAAGTTATATGACACTAATGTT